GGTCAAAATTTTTGCCCCCCCCCCTTTCAAAACCTGAAATGACGCCACTGTGATATAGGTACCATTAAACTTTTGCAATATGTCAAGTAATTCTGATGAAGATGATATACAGCGGACGCAGCTTAAAACACTCATTTATGGACCAGCACAAAGGGAGTCTTATAACCGAATGAATCTTATAAGAGAAGTGAAAAAAAATACTTGTGAATTTTATTTTATTACAAATCTAGCTTTTATTTAAGCTGATTCACGCATATTACACATTACTTATTAGTAAATAAATGAAATTATAATTAAACATTCAACACATATTATAAATACATTTAAAAATACATAAATACATTTTTATAGCACAAAGTCTGTTAATTATAAAATCAATGGTATAACATTCACTTAAAATGGTTTTAATTTAATTATTATATTTATATTGATGTTATAGGATAATATAAATTAATACATTACTTTTTACATGCATAAAAAAGTGTTTATTTAGTAAAAGTATTGATTGAATTTGAATTTTGTTTTATGATATTCACCTGAAACATTTTTCAAATATTTTTTTAATGTATTTATTTGATTAGGTAAAATAATAAAACAAACTTAAATATAATTATTTGCGGGTACCTTATTCACCTAGCTAGAATCTTAACTGTTGCATTGGACAGAAAAAAAAATATTTTTCAAACATAAATTTACGAAATTTAATTAAAAATACCAGAAATAAACTAAAAATGGAAAATATGATATAAATATGCAAAAACATAACCTGAAAAAAAATTCCAAATAAAAATTTCATAAATTGATTCATATTATTAAAATAATTAAAATTATGTACTTACAAAATTACGTTTCACAATCACTAAAAAAAAATTCACAACTCTAGTTATAACCTTTCCTGTTTCATTAATAAGCAACTTCTTTTGGATTAATTTTTTATTAGCATTTAAGTCCATAAATTCTACAATATTGCTGCCGTTGTTTCTGGTGTTACCTTACATTGGTTTGAGAGAAAACTATATATATATTATATATATTATATATAGTACGGGCTATAGGATATTTTATGATTTTCATTGAGTTTTGAAATGACTAGTGCATTTCTCTTTTTATTTATTCGTACTTGACTCTATTCTATCTCTGTTTTAATTTTCTAAAATCAAGAAACACTTTATAATATATAATATAATTATTACTAAGACTCGGGAACTAGAGCCCTAAACACCAAAAACACAGAAAATAGGAGTTATTATTTATATTTTATATAGTAGGTAGCACTTAAATTGTTCTGTGGAAATGGCGCCTTTTTCCCACCTGCATGCTTCGCCTTTATGGATTCTAACGTCAATCATCCACGGAAAAATCTAAATAAAATTACGGTATTTAAAGCGCATGCTTATCAATCAGTCGGGTATCGAATATTTACACCACGGACTAGGTAAGATATATCTTAGTCCGTGATTTACACTGATGATTCCGTCATAGATAATATAATTTTTCAAATTATTAAATTACTTGACATTTTTAAAAATTGAAATTGAAGTGTTACCGGTTCCGTACAATCTATCATTTGTCTCCGAGATATAGTTCTTATTTGTATTGTTTGTCGATTGTATTCAAAAAATTTATAATATTACTTTAGATCATATTATCATAATACGTATGAGTAGGTACCACGGATTATATATAGATTAATACTTAATAGATTTATTCAAATTAGTTGTCATCATAGATAAATAAATCTTATAAATTGTAATGTTTAATCAATTACCGAGTACTTATTAGTCCTGACACCCAAGTGTCAATTATATCTTCTTTAAGAAAGTGATCACCACAAGTCCACAAATTCTAGACCTTTTATTTAAAGTCTTACCAATTACTCTTTCCCATTTTTCATGTGAGGCTATTGGAACACTAAACCTAGATTTAGAATTTCCTACACAATTTTCTACACAATTTTCAATGCAACATTTATCTAACCGAAGCGGCATGTTGATTGAAAATAATATATATTGAAATAAAAAAATATTGGTCAGTTGCCTATTGAATAATATTATCTTTGATTAATTAGGTTATATTGTTAACACAGATTCAATTTAAATATGATCTCTAACCTTTGTGATTATTAATATATTAATCCATGATGATTATTATTATATTATGCTAATAGAGCTTACACAATATAGACTTTTTTCATAATATAATATATTACTATATTAGGTACTATATTTCATATAGTTAGTGATACAATCACGAATTCACGAATTAAAAATACGCGGGAATTAGTTTGTAAATACTAGATACGTGAAACGTGATACGATCGCACATTCACACTAATCCATAGAGTATATGGATATATATATATATATATATACTCTATACACTAATCTTACCGCAACGTGTGAAGGTCAGTGCTTCACTTATCACAGTTTCGTTGCGTATCCAGTATATTAATCCGTGGTAGGTACTTCCGCCAGAATTTAAAATTATATGTTATTGTTTTGTTGATCGTGGTTATCATTATCACTTTATCAGAACATTTTGGATAGTATTTCATAATATTAAAATATTGGGCAATTATCTTTTATCATTTTTTTTATTGCTGCTCAGATATGCAATCTACATATTATAATATGATTTTGTATATTCGAGCAGCACCAAATTTAAATGTTAATGACTTTAAAACAATTTCATATACTTACCAGCTTGAATAATGAAATCAATGACTGATGGCTCTAACATGAAACAGTACGAGTGGTCACCTTTAGCTACTTTTAAATTAAAGTGACTGTCAGTTTGGGTCATGATAATGTCTTCACACTTCTACGCGTAGTAAGAGAGCAGAGTAGACAGAGCAAGAATTAATTTCAATTTTCAATTAATTAAGTTCAACAGACTCACGAGATGAAATAGCAAATCAATCTGACAATGGAAAATTTAAAATAGATTGTTAGTTATCAAAAATGAAATAATTGATATCATCATAATCATTTGCTGAATTATGTTTCAGATGCTCCTTAAATTGACTGCACTGAGCAAGATTATGTGTGTTATCATTTGYACGCWTTACGTGCAACTAACCGCACTGGTGCAGTCATATGGAAAACACTATAAAACATAAATTATTTGTGTTCATTGGCATCTGGCACACTGCCGGCTATAAGCGGCGGATTTCCTCTTGTGCTAGCACTCCGGTGGATCGCGACTGCACTATAGCCTTTTTAGTTTTTTCCTCGGTCAAAACGGGTGGTGTAAGCAAATCGGGCCGAGCTCTCTCTGTTCACCGTGAATCCCGACCGCCTCATTCCGCGGTTGCCATAGCAGCCGTCACCGCGCCGTCGCGGCTCGAGCACTACATCTTCCACAGGTCTTTAAAGGTCTTTTGATTCACCATAGTACGTCATTGTTCGGTGGATGATTCGTGTCGACTGGCTGACGAAGTGATCGACGCCCCGACGGTTGTAGGTACTTACTAAGCGCCACACATCGTCTGCTGTTTTGTTCGGACTTTACTTTGTAATACGTGTGAACGTATTTTGTCGACATGGAACGAGCACCGTCCGGTGGACAAGGTCTCAAGGTAAAGATTATGTTGTTTTACTGTTTTAGTAATCAGCTTGGTAAAATATGTACGTCGCCATCTAAACAATTATTGCCGCTAAATGCAGTGGCACCATTTCAGTTTTGGGCTGCTAAATGCTAAGATGGGTTCCGTAGTTTCTTTAACCAGGCCACAAAAATGACAGTACTTAATGTAGTACCTAAATAGCAGTGGTGTCATAATATACTGATTTATATGTGGGAAACGATACAAAATGAAACATTTCTAAAAGTCTACCATAATTAGAACATTTGACTTCTTCCCAATTTCAATCATGGCAGTTGTCAAACTGCTAATTTTTTTTTACTCGTATAATAATGCCCAAAAGAAATGTATAATTTTAAAATCACCTACTAATTCTCAATACTTTATCTGTAAAATCTTTGATATTTATTTTATTAAATAACCAATAGAATTAAGCCTATATGATAAATGGCACAACTAAAATAAAGCCACGGTAAACACTTTGATATGTCAAATTACTCATTTGGATTATTGATCATAAATTATTATGTTTTGTTTACCAGTATATAAGTATTATTATTAAAGGCTTTTTATTATTATTGCACTTCTTAGATACTTTTACTATTTCCCCTTCTATTTCCCAACATTTAAAATCTAAATTATACAGTTTTTCAGATATTTTGATATTATTTGGCTGCTAATTTGTTAGTTTTTGGTCAAATTATATTTTGTACTGACAATGCATTGAAATTTATTATTATTTGTAAATATAATAATTCTATGAATACTATATTTCTTATTATTTTTGATACTTTTAACAGAGGAGAAGACCAAATCGTATTATTGACTTGGATATAAAACGCTCCATTGGAGCTATATCTTCCATGGAATATAAACGTCGTACAATTATTAATGAGATCAATAATGTCGCCTATGCACTTCATAAAACTTCTTTGCCTGCAATTTACATTAATCCAATTCGTACAGGCGCTCAAAATTATGTACAAGATGATATTCTAGCGATGGAAGTTGATCCAATAGAAAGTAAATGGTATGTATACTTTATGTGTAAGATCAATATCTTAGGTTGTAAATTATAGGAAATTTAAAAAGTTATTATTGCTTCTATTCTTTGGTCAAAATGAGATCGGTACATGTTGACGACCAGTTATTGTGAGCAGTGCGCTAACCACCTCATGCCGTGCTGTGGAACATAGCTACACCCATGTGCAAGTAGGTGGTACCTGTACCAATCTCATTTTGAACAGACTATAATATCAATGTATATTGAGAGTATATTTTCGTTGTGATACATATTTGTTAAAGTCAAGTTAGGTATTATTAAATTTAATTTTATAGGTAACATTTTTAGAAAGTTTTACAGATTAATTTTTTTTTTATGTTTTTACTAAAAAAAGAAAAACATTGTTTAAATTAAAATAATAACTATTCAAAGTGTTACCTTAAAATGGATTGTACCTACTTTGATAATAAAATAAACTGCAGAAGGCATATAATAATAATTGTAGTATTAAACTTAACTTTTTTTCTTTTAACAATGTTAAGCAATAACTTAATGTTATGAGCTTATATTAAAAAATTGTAATTTAAATTTCTTCTGATGTAAATTTGAATACAAGTGAAATCTAAAAAAGTTAAAATGTTGTTATATTTTTAAAAATACAGAAAATCAATGATATTTATCAATTAGGTATTTGAAATTAAATTATATAATATAGTATTGTATATGCATTATATTTTAAATATTTAAACAATTAATTATAACTGTTCAAATGTTCAATACATATTATTATATTGACTGTTCAATGTTAAGATTTAAATATAAGATACAAATTAATATAGTTTAACATGTTTGAATAACATTATACATACTTTTTAGTCAATGCTTTTAACACATGCAGCTTTGATTCTTTATTATATCAACCAACATAAACACTTTTATCAAGTCTAAAATAAATAAATAAATTCAATACATTCATCATATTAAGATTATAGATATTATTCAATAAAATATCTTCCTGGGCGTAAAAGTGCAGAATCTATGAGATCTGGTTGATTTGTAGCACCCAATACAAATATTTGTTGGTTTTCTGATGTCATTCCATCCATTTCGGTTASTAATTGTGATACAACTCTATAAATTTATATAATATGCAAACAAATTTGCATTATTGAATAAAAATAATTATAGAATAACCTATACCTATCTCCTACACCTCCAGAATCTCCATTTTGACCTCGTTTTGGCGTTAACGAATCAAGTTCATCAAAAAACAAAATACACGGTACAGCAATTTTTTATTTTTTATTTTTAGTTTACTTGCCGTATCAAGATACAACAGTGTAGCTATTTATAATGTTTCTCCAAATGTTAAAATCTTTGATCAAATGAAGCGAATGACTATACCACATGACCCAATTGATAATAATGGATCACCTAATTCAGCACATTGGCTTTGGGATGGTACAGTATTTAGTGTTTGTACTATGGATTCTGTCCATTTTTGGGATTCAACTACTTGTAAAATAATTGAAACTGTGAAGATGCGTACAAAAGTTTTGAACCATGTGATGGCTGCAAAAAAGTATAGCGTTAACAAATATGTTGCAGGTACTACATAATTTAAGTTATAGAATAATTAACTCTAAAAATAAATGAAAAATAAAATATCATTTTTCTAGTGACAGGAATTGAAGGACATGTATTCATGATTGATATGCTACATGGTATTGTTGTAATGACTATGAAAAATATTGAGAAAAAACCAATAAGAGCTATACATTGGCATCCAACAAATGAATTACAATATGTTACTGGCAATTGCAATGGAAACATTTACCTATGGGATATTCGTTTTCAAAGAGACTTTGTTTTCAAATTCAAAAATGAAGATTCTTTTTCTGTATCAACTAGCCATACTTATCCAGTTATTGGGTTACGGTTTTATAATGACGGAAATAGTGTTATATCTGTCGATAACAATGGAGGCATCAAAACTTGGTAATAATTATTATTTAATAAAACAATAACTATTAAAATAATATTTGAATTTTTATATTGTATCACTATCCAATTTATAATGAAACAAATCCCTAGATATTTACAAAATTATTATCAGTATTTATTATGTTATATTACCCTTCAAATATTAAATATCTGGAAGTTCTTAATATGATAACTTTCAGTACCATAGCAAAAGTAGGTTAAGGGCTCAAGCCCCCTGAAATAACAAACTTATTATAACTGGTAGTTATAATAAGTGTATAGTTTTATACCTGTAACAACAAAGTATTGAAGCACCCTCTGAAAAAAAATTATGGCTACCAAACTAGAGACCTTATTTTTTCTTAAGAAAATAAATTTTTATAAGTTTGAAAATCAAAATCAAAAAGAACACATATTTCTAAACCTATAATAAAATAACTTTCTAATAATTGAAATTATACCTTTTTAAATATTAAAAGATTAAATTAATTAGGAGCAGCTAAGCAACTAACAGGAAATTTATTTATTACAGGGAAGTTAGTACTGGTCATCTTCGTCCTAACCACTATGAATCTGTACCATTGTGTGACCTTAACAAGAATCATATTTTTAAAGATTATCAGTTTGCTGTTACTGAAAATTTGAAAGAAGACATTGTATTTTTGCCATCAAAAAGAGGAATGAGAATATTTGATATTGAAAGTGGTGAACATTTACCTTTTTCTAATGATATACCTCTACCTATGAACTGTGCTACTTACGATAGCAAACGATTTTGTGTTTATGGGGGCTCTAATGACTTAATAAAATTATGGACACCTGAAAAAAAAATGACTGACTGAACTGTATGTTTATGATGGCTAATTATATTAATCTATCCTTGTATCAATTTTTTCTTACAATTTTCTAATTTCTTTATGCTTATATAATATCAATTCATACTATTGTTATTATATTGATACTTAATAATTTATTTTCCTGTAAAATCAAAGTGACATTTTAAAATTTTACCTAGTTTCTAAATCTGGGGGTAAATAATAATGGTTGACTTGACCATAAAAATATTTTTTCTAGACCCAGTGACGGTACAATTATTAACCTTTAAAGTTCTTCATATAAACTATGAAATTATTTTTTTGATTTAAACAACATCTAAAAACCACCTTCTAGTTACATAGAACTATGTTACAAAAATTATAAAAAGTACGATTATTTTTTTAGATAACATTGGATTTCTAATAAATTCTTAAGAGTATGTTTTTTTACAAATTGAAGAAAAAATTATTTTCATTAAATTTGAATCGGCCTTCATTAAGTCTATTTAAATTTTTAAACCATAATTGTAGAGTGAAAATTTCTAAATTATACCTACTATAGTATTAAGAAATATAAATTTATATATTTGATATATCTTATAAAATGTAAGTCTAACAGTGTAAACTTGTTTTGAGTGAAAATTTTTTAAACAGCTTAGTGTATGTAAATACTAAATAGATACTATGGGTTGGTTGCCAAATATTTCATTGTAATATGGCTGAGAAATTTAGTGTCATGTGAGAAAATGATCACAATGTAAACTGTAATTTGTTTTAAAAAACTATTATTTCCTTATTTTTTTTTTTTTTTTGTTTGAAGGTTTAATTTAAGTTACCTAATTTCTTCCATTTATAAAACATATTTATATATATATTTGTTCTGTATGTGCCATTTTATTTTAATTATAAATCAACAGAATTAGTAAATACTAACCTTAATTTACACTTCCACACTCGTGTAGCTTAAATACTCAATTTAAATATGTAAATGCATACTATCTATTATATATTATTGTTATATAATAAATAGCCGGCATCGGGCCCCCAAATATACTTTTTATTTTATTGGATCTTATTATTCTATTTATTATGAATGTACTAGCTCATTGATTTGAAGATCTCTAAATTTATTTGAATTATTTGTAACTATTATTTTAATTTAATGAATTAACTAATGTTTATTAGTCCTCATCATATTTCATGTTTTATTGTTTAATATATTATGAATACAATTTTTTTATAATTATAATAATAAACTATTTAAGTATTGTCAAAAAATATTGAGTGATTTAGATGATAATTAATTTCAATGGTTTTTGTAATATTTATCAATATATTATAACTATTATTCAATCATAAGTTATGCCTTTTGCATCACATATCTAAATATAACTGTTTATAAACTAAGTATTTTTTTTATTGTTGGATTATAATTCATTAATTGTACCTAGTAGTTGGTGATTAATGAATGGTAAAAAATATTTGTCAACTGGTTTACTCTTGTAAGCTTAACTTTCATTTAAAACAATTTGGTGTTATATGAATACAAATTCAAAAGAAAATAGTTTTATTTTAAGCATAATGTTATCAGTATATTTTTGTACCAGTTTTAAGGGGTAATTGAATCATGTACGATAAGTTACTTGTTATTCATTAAAAAAAACACTGAACTTTGTCATGATGACTATTTATCACAGTAATTAGTATTGTTATTATTTATTTATTTATTCCAATTCCACGCATAAAATATCCTTTAACAATTAGTATAGACCACTGAAAATATAAAAGACTATATTCAATAAACCTAACTACCATAACATTAATAAAAAAATATATTATAATAATAGTGAACAGTAAAAATAGCTGTAATTTTGAAATTGTATAAAAATCAATTTATAATTAACAGATTTGAGATAAGTATTAAATTTAATTTAAGAGGACGCCACACCCGCATGTGCTGTCTCCGTCTTACAAACTTATACCATGGCAAAATTTGTTTAGCGCGGGACAACTTTACTCCCTTTGTATTTATAGTAGAATTACCAAAATTCCACAACACATAGGTAAGAACTTTATCTGTGTCATAGCATCGTTATTTTTTTGATAACATAAATATAATTAAAGTTATAAGCTTAAGAAAATACATTTATTTTTTATTTTTTTATTAAATTACTTAAAATTATTGTTTGTGCTATCAAAAAAATAACGACGCTTTGACACAGATAAAGTTCTTACCTATGCATTGTGAAATTTTGAAAATTCTATTATAAATATTGAGGGAGAAAAGTTGTCCCGCGCTAAACAGATTTTGCTGTTATACGTTTGTAAGACAGAGACAACACATGAAAGGATTTTATGACCAATCCAGCAACATTTCAACTACTCAAGGCATAGGGCGCCAAACACTATATGATTTATACTAATTAGTAAAACATATTATAACCCCAACATATATTTACCAAAAAAGTTTATTTATTTAATATTTATGAACACCTTTAAAATGTGTTGTAAAAGATCACAAATCTTTACACTAAAAAATGTTTAAATGGTTAAAATACATTAAATTTTAAATCATAAAAATAAGATCAGTCTTATTTATTTCATCTTTTTAGATATTTAGTTATGTAAAACTTTCACTCATTGCTTTCATGAAATCTTCTTCGGTTACCATTAAATTGTCATCAGTTGTACTTTGTTTGTCTGAAATAAATAAAAATATTTATTAAAATGTCAAAATGTACTAATTCAACAGTTTAGCATTTATATTAAAACATAAAAAAAAGTTTACCATTAATATGTGTAAATTGTTTTTGGATAACTCTTCTTGCGCAGTTTAGCCATGCATTGTGACACATACCATACAATTCAGCCCCTGTTACTTGATCTGGTAAATGATCTATTAAATCTTCTAGATGAAAATTTGAATACAAGTGAAATCTAAAAAAGTTAAAATGTTGTTATAGTTTTAAAAATACTGAAAATCAATGATATTTATCAATTATTTTAAATTAAATTATATAATATAGTATTGTATATGCATTATATTTTAAATATTTAAACAATTAATTATAACCGTTCAATACATATTATTATATTGACTGTTCAATGTAAAGATTTTAATATATAATACAAATTAATATTGTTTAAGAGAACGCTACACCCGCATATGTTGTCTCCGTCTTACAGGTGCGTAACATAGCAAATTTTATGCTCAGCAGATCACGTTTAGCTCCATTAGTTTAAAATTTAGAGTAATTGACCTCTTACAAAAATTAAAGGCAACATTATTATCGAGGGCATCCGGTAGGCTTTTTATTATATTTTAATTTTAAAGTGAGTTATGTGTATTTTAAGATATACAAACAATTTACAATTTTAAAATACACATAACTCACTTTAAAATTAAAATATAATAAAARGCCTACDTYATGCCCTCGATAATAATGTTACCTTTAATTTTTGTAGAGGTCAATTTACTCTAAATTTTATACTAACGGAGCTATACGTGATCTGCTGAGCATACAATTTACTATGTTATGTGTTTGTAAGACGAAGACAACGTATGCGGGTGTAACGTCCTATGTTTGAATAACATTATACATACTTTTTAGTCAATGCTTTTAAGACATGCAGCTTTGATTCTTTATCATTACATCCACCAACATAAACACTTTTATCAAGTCTAAAATAAATAAATAAATTCAATACTTATGTCATATTAAGATTATAGATATTATTCAATAAAATACCTTCCTGGGCGTAAAAGTGCAGAATCTATGAGATCTGGTCGATTTGTAGCACCCAATACAAATATTTGTTGGTTTTCTGATGTCATTCCATCCATTTCGGTTAGTAATTGTGATACAACTCTATAAATTTATATAATATGCAAACAAATTTGCATTATTGAATAAAAATAATTATAGAATAA